ACAGTTGTTTTCCTCAGTAATACAGCAGTGTCTTTCATTGCAGTTCTGTGCTTGAAGACTGCAAATGGGGCAGTGACAGAATAGAGTATTTTACAAAGCATTTTCTGGTATGTACAGTAGTAGTAAGTTGCACAATAACTTTACAAAATTTATTGCTAATCTGGCAAGTAACATTAACTGAGTTCGCCAAACTTTTTTTCTGATAATAAAATTGAGCAAGTTGTGAAAGATACAATATTTACTGAATTTTGTGTCAATTACTTAGCAATATATTCAGCACAACTTCTTATTGTACCCTGTATATAGCAATATTACAAGATCTCATCCCTGATTCAGAACTGCCTGTACTACATGTACATGTAGTTATGGACATTACTAAATTACCCTTGGACATTGTGGAGTAAACTTCGAATCAAAGAAAATATGGCATGGCAATCAGTAGTTGTACATGTTATTTCCTTCTTTTGTTGTAGGATTGCAAACCCAATTTGGAAGCACTCCTAGCAAGGTACGCCCATTTGTTTTATCTTCTCAATATACTACTGTATGTAATCCAGTGAGACATCTACTTTGCAGCTCTGCAAAAGGTTTGGCATCATCTTGATGAAACCATCCAGGGAGTTTTAGAAATTATACTCCTTGTACAGAAGCTCCTTGCTTTGGAAACTGGGATAATCTTTTGTGGCACCTATTGGACACTTGAGCCTATGTAGACTTTACTTTTGCCTATTGTTTTTGCCGCTAACTTGCTTTTCTCAACCCTGTCTAGTGGAAGATCCAGACCTTAAGCTAAGGGGGGAGCCCAGTTCTCTTTTTTTTTCTCTTTGCTTCCCTGCCGGCTTTTTTTCGCGATTTTCTTTTTTTACCCAAAGTAAGGGGGGCTCATGGGCCCCTTGGGCCCCTTCCCTAGATCCGCCACTGCTGTCATAATATCGTTTGGACAAACTCTGACACTTATCATTGAGCCATTTTCTTATGCTTTGAGTAGGTTATAAAATGTTGGTGGTGAAGAAAAGCATGCATAAAAATGTTCTTGATTAGTTTCACTTTCCTCTAAAAAATAGTTAGCTTGTTTTTCGAACTGTCATTATTTTCAAACAGTCACATCAAAGCCAAAACACTGTGACTACTTGAACAGCTCGAACCACCTAATACAAAACTAACCAATCAGAACTTAAACTGAGAACTATGGAATGCTGTTTTTTTTCGTGGATGCGAGTAAGGGGTCACTTCATATGAATATGTGAATACCATAGACTCTTCTGTGTTATATAGACTTGACAGATTCACTCCTTGATGGTGAATTTCCATTCAATTATGAATTTCACTCAAAAACTCTAGCTTGAAAAATCATTTCGCGACCACTAAACTGAAACTTTTGAAAAGCATACAAAAATGTAGGATTGAAACTAACCTATCGACAAATAGCAAAGTTTCCTGAGATGGTCGCAACACTTCGCACTTCGTTGGGTTTTCAATTTTGTTATTTGTTCCTATTCTTTAATGTTATTGGTTTGTTTAAGAAAAAGATACATGTAGCTATATCCTCTGTTCTCAAGTAATGTTCTGATTGGTTAACTCTTTTCCAAGTGGCTTGGTTCAAGTAGTCACACTGTAAAATTTAGG